ATGATCAATGTCCCCTCACATTCACACCATGGACTGTTCTCCCTGCTGCCACCTGGGAAAAGGTTTTCCAGTGTTCAATCCAGGTCCAGCAGATTCCGAAACAGCTTCTTCCCCACCGCCATCAGACAGTAGAACTGTTGAGAAAACTCTGAATCATGTCACAGACTCTGCATCACACTGATAACACCAAACCAAAACACACCATAATTGTACCATATATATTTACATTTCTGAACTTCCACATCAATGTGTTTTTTGCACCATGTTTTTCTCCCACACTGTTTACATTTGATCACTGTTGCACTTTAAGAAATGGAAATGTTATAAAGCTGTACAAAATAATATTTCATTTTGTATACACTCTGTGTATATAAAATCACAATAAAAGTTGTCTAAGTCTAAATCTGTAAATGCTTGTTGATAAATATCCCTTAGTTTGGTGCCAAATTGGAAGCTTCCATTGCTGTTCACATTAAGAGCTTTTTCATTGCTTTTAAGGACACCAGTAAAAAATTTAATTAATAGTGCTGCACTAAACAGAGATGCATTTAGATAACATCCGAGATCAATTTTCTATTTATATAATTAAATATATAATTAAATATTTAACAAACTGTTGTTAGATTTGTTAAATTTTACTCCTATGAACCCATTATGGTTCATCTAACCTGAAAAAAAATCTCTAAAAATTTTGCAAAACAAGACATCATGAAAACAGTTGAGCTGCAGTTACGAGTGAAGATGATTGTTTATGTGGAACTTTTTCTAATTAATTTACACGAAATTAAGCCCAACATTTAAAGCATGCTAATGAATAGAGAGAGGATCCCTTTTTTTATTCCTTCAGAAAGTATGTTTTTATTTGTAAAACCCATAATCCTAACCTTTAAAAGTAATAAAAATACATCAGAGTTTCCAAAATGCATCATTTGAAACTCTTTCTAAGTGATCTGATTTAGATGTCTTTTTAAAGAAACAGCTGAATAATGGGTTTAGGGGCAGCTAACAGCATTACATTGATAGATTTACTTTTCTCATTCTGTAGCTTATATTGCGGCTCGTTGTGTAAAAAAAAACATTAACAATAAGTTATTCACATCTTATCTAGACAGAATAACACTGAAAAAAACTCTGACTTCTGAATCAATTTCAGAATAAAATAATTTCAGAAAATTTTATAAAGTAGTTTTTCAGTGTTAAACTAAATTATAAAGAAGATTGTTGTCACCCATTTTAAAATCAACTGGCTGTCAGAACTTTTGGTTTATTCAACCTACAGGTTAAGTTACCAACTAATATTCATTAAACAGCCAGCAGGTTAAGCAACAAACTAATGAACATTAATGCTAAGAGAGAGCCCCATTAAAGATCTAATTCTATTTATTTGAATTAATTTACCTTGAAAGAAATCCACAGGATTTTTTTATCTCTTTTACAAAATTTATTTTCTCATCTCCAAGATGATGATGATATCAAGCTTTTTTCTTTTTTTTTTTTGCCTATGAGCAAAAATACATCCCAAATAGTTTCCTTCAGATTGCTGCCGTTCCATTTTAAATTTCCCTGTTTTGATATGAATTTGCTCAGACTTGCTCTGCTTGAAACAAGCTCAAACAAAAACTAATCTTGGAATTTCTGCTGAAATGATAACTCTTCACATTTTAGATAAATAATCCACATCAGATTAAGCAGCTTTAGCTTTAAGTATGTGTCTGGAATTTAATTTTTTTGTTTCGAACTTTTGGCTTTTTAGAACAGAGATTATTTCTTCAGAAATATTTGACCTTGGTGTTTTTTTATGTCCCTTCTGCTTTTGTTTTCACCGATGTTATAAATTTGCATTAAAAAAGGTTATCAGTTATACTTGAGCAAATATATATATGAGCAATTACATAACTTCTATAGCTGCAGGCAACAGAAAATATTTGTACATGGAATGTTTTACATCAGGATATTATGCAAATCTTCTGCTTGATGCAGATGTCACAGATGTAGTAATAGTAGCAAAGCAGCTGAGCAAAAAGTTGGCATAGAACTAGCGGAAAAATCTAACATCTTGTTTAATTTTCATTTTTACTTCTGTAAATACTGAAGCAGAATGACAGAACATTTGGTTTATTTTAACATTTTTTCCAGACTTGTAAAAGTTTACAAAATATGATTTCTGACCATGTACATAGGCTTTTTTTCCCCCCTAAGGAATTATTAGAACTCTGAAATGCCGAAAAAAAAAAACGAAAAAAAAACAAACATATTAAACAATGGTGTAACATACATGACATAACAGTGGTTTTTAAGATTCTCAAACAAACTGTGATATCTCTTTCTGGTCTAAAACAAGACACAGGCACTTTTAAATAAAAGGAGTTTTAAATGCAAAACTGTGACACATGTTGAACAGCTGTTAAATGGTTTGCGTCCATCTCGGATTACAGTTTTTGTTTCAACATCAGTGATTTTATCTGCGGCCTTCCTTTCAGATGTACAACAAGGTTCAATTCCTGAACTCTATTTTGTTTTCTTTGTAACTCCTGATAGAAGGGCTTCTCTTAGCATCCGTGCTTTCTGTCTACAGCTTTGCTGCCCTCCCCTGGGGAGTACCACAAGGCTCCCCTTTTAACCTCTCCCATTCTTCCTAAGTAATTGTTGCTGATTTTGATTTCTTTTTTATTTACCTTTATATGCTGTTGGCTAACAAATAGCACAATTATACATATATTCAAGCTGTTTAAACCTTGCAGCAACAGTAGCACAGCTTTAGCTGATTTTTCCTCCTTCATCCTACATTAAAAAAACTGTAATTACATATTAGATGTAAACATTAATCCTACCTTGAAAGTTGATTTTCATCTAAGTACAGAGGTAAAATATATGCAGTTCTGTCTATAAACAAAAATTTACAAATTAAACTGTTTCCTGGAAGACTGGAATATAATTCATGGTGAAATTAGCTACACTTCTCTCTTAAAACTAGGCAAGGCAAGGCAAATTTATTTGTATAGCACAATTCAGTACAAAGACAATGCAAAGTGCTTTACATGATTAAAAGGGATGGGATGATAAAAAAAAGTTGAACTTAGTCTGGTTTACTGCTAAAAACAAGTGAGAACATATTTTACAAATATAGAGCTTTTACATTTTTTTGTCTGATTCATTCTTTACATTCTGTTCTGCGGCACCCATTTGTTGTGTGTTGCCCTCACAGGAATGTGATAAGGAGGAATTGTAATCAGATGTGCAAAACGCATGTTAGACTGACTCTCGTTCTTTACTTCTTCTTCTTTTTTTTTTTTATCTTCTTTAAAACACCCCCCGGCCCTCTGGTCAGGATAAGATGTTGAGTGGGACCTCAGTGTTTGTCAGTATTTTTTATCAGTGTTAGTTTTTATTGCATAATTTTTACATAATATGTTTGCTCATGTTTATTCATCGTATTTGGCTAGATCTTTGTATCACTTTTGGTCAAATTTGTTATTTAAACTTAATAACATGGGATGATTCATATATATAGCAAAAACATACAAACTTCTTAGATTAAGGTATAACGTTTTATCAAATATTTGATTTCGAAAGACTTCAGGTATATGCAACTCAAAACATACAGGTTTTTTTTAGATGGTGTAGATGGTAACTACTCCGTTTACAGGTTGGTGGATGGAAAATCCATTTGTGAGACCCATGCTTAGGAGTTACTGAATTAGGTATGAGAGGGATAACCGCAGAGTAAAGCTGCTCTTCGTAAAGAAAGATCTCGTTTCACAGTTATGTTTCTACAGTATCCCAGAAAGGACACACCAAACACTGGATCTATGGAGAGGCTTTGGCTTTTGTTTATATATGACACATTTATAAGTACCTCTGCAAAAAGAAAACCCTTCTAAAAAAAAAAAATCCTTAATACTTTTTTAACAATATCAGAATCTAACTAATGGAGATTCTGCAATATACAGAATAATCTATTGTGAGTAGATTTATTAAATGGGGAAAATTCAAATTGTGGGATGTGTCTTTCAGCAGAAATACGTGCAGCACGACTGTTGGTTTTCCTGCTGTAATTTCTTACAAACCCCCTTAGTCATATTTTAACAGGCAGCTACTGTATGCTCTGGTCAAGTCATCTCCTCCTCAACAACAGGAGGCTGGACACTCAGCATATCTCCAAACTCTCCAAATTCTAAACAATTAATCCATATCTTTGTCTCCTTTAAACCCTTTTCACCATGAGTTCTGCAAATATATCTAGAACTGTGCTAATTGAAGTTTGCAGAACAGAACACATTCCTCCTCATCTCTATGGACTTCCACACCCTCTAGTGTTGACAAAGCAACACCTTAAAGAACTCCTCACTACCCGCTCATCCATTCAGATAACACACTTTTTCCAGGAATGATAATGTGTCTAATAGTTACCTTATATAATTTAACCCATGATGACACTTTTTTTTCTCTTCTAGTACTCTTCTTTAACTTACTCGTTTCTGTCCATGGTGGAAAGATGAAGATGGCCCCTAGTCCTGCCTTGGGTAAAGAGACAAAGTATTCTGTGTTGCATCATACTTATACTCCCGAAAAACACAAAGTCCTTAAGTACTGGGTGGTTGGAAACTCTGGTCAGCTATGAATTTTGTTTAATTGTATAAGAATGCTTCTGTTTTTTCATTGAAAAATGATCACTTCCTTACAGGTTTGTCCATCTTTAATGACTACAGTGAGATTGATGTGATCAGATACTAAATTGAAGGCCATCTGCAGGCTGTGACCAACTATTGGCCTCTTAGAAAGTTCTGTGCATGAAGAAAACGCCTCGTTATCAAACTTTTAATAGGTAGTGATTTTAAACTAGCTTAGATCTACTGTAGTTTTTCAAAGAGTCTGCTCTGTCCTTGTCTGAAGTTATTCTACACTCCTGTATCAATTGTTTTTTTTTTTTTTTTTTTTTTAAGAATATGACAATTTAAGTCATTTTGCATGATAACCAAACTCCACAAAGTTTAACAGTGTAGGTTTTTTTTATTCTTCAGGAGGTCAAAAAAGGTCAACTTGCATAAAACACATAAAAGGTTGAGGACCGCCGGACAAAAATTATCAGGAGTGTTTGAATGACATCGAGATTTACAGAAAATGCAAACCACTTAAATACAGTTAAAATATTATACAGCAATGGTCAATAATTTATACACAGCGTGAATTAAATAGATTAGGAGATCAATTTTACAGCCTTCAATGCCACGTCACATTATGTTTAAGCATTTTCACTTTTTAGTAACTAAAATATCTCAATCAAGGCCCTCTGGCAGGTCAAAACTTTACAGCAGCGTACAGTTAAACTTCTTCATTTCTCATGATTTTCATACAGTAGTAATAATCAAAGTTAATTACAGCAGATAACATTTCAGGGCATGCTGGGGTGCAGGTCTAGTTCATTTCCATAAAGTTATACAAGGCAAATAGACTAAAAGGTGAAAAGATTTGACCAAAATTGGATACCAGTGCTTAAATCCAAGTTAAGAGCTTGCTTAAAAAAAATGAAATAAAAACTACAGTGTCTAAACAATTACTGCCATTTGAAAAAATCTTGGAGAAGACCAAAACCAAGGCACCAGAAGGAGAAAAAGAAACTGCAGGGTGTGGCTTGCAAGAAAAGCAAATGAAAAGTAAGATGATGTTAGAGAAAAATGTTTTCTACATTAGATATCCTAATTACTGCGTCTAAATATTCTACATGCACAGGGCTTCAATTTTCCATTTCAGATGCTGCTAATGAATCAGGACATCAGGTACACCCTAATAAATAAACTTCCTTTAGAATAGAATCATGTATGTTTATTTTTGTTCAACCTTTAGAGCCCTCAGAAGAGCTAACTTAGCCGTTTTATAACATATTAAAAGATTCAAAGGTTTTTGGTATCTTAGGGGAATCTTTTTATGAGCACCAGCTTTACGAACACTGAGGGAGAACAGCAGCAAGAAAAATCGGCAGATGGTCGCTCACTCTGAGCCTGGTTCAGCCGGAGGTTTCTTCCTGTTAAAAGGGAGTTTTTCCTCTCCACTGTCGCTACAAGCATGCTTAGTGTGAAGGATTGCCTTCAAGTTGATGCAATCAAATGATTTTCCTTAGAAAAGAAAACTTTGAATCAATTTGACTGTACGATCTGGCTGAATTTTAAAGTGCCTTGTGATGACATTTGTTATGAATGGGCGCTATATAAATAAACTGAATTGAATTCCATCTTTTTGTTGTGAGGGATTACAACTTAAACACATAAATAACTTGAAATGCATAAAACGAACGTTGATTAGCTATGATAAAGAGCAGAAACAGATGAAGCAGATTTAAATGCAGTGTTACCTGTCCCTCATTCTTCTTCCTGCATCTGTGGAAAGTTGGGCTTTAACGTTGATTTGTCTTCATTGCTTTGAAACAAATTCACTGACTTGATGTAGAAAATAAGGCAAAATAAGCTTTCGCTTCTGCCTATTCCATTTAAAACTATGTGTGTATATATTCTTTGTTTATCTTTGTGAAGTTTAAATGTCCTAATAAAAGATGTCAAAATTTATTTCTTTTATTTTAGCCTTATGGTTTGCTGATCAGTCGAAGCTCCTCATTGACCGCCTCAGGTAACATTAACCTTCACTATGTCACCAGGAAAACAATCCTGAATTTGTCGAAGCTTTCTATTAGCCTTAAGCAACAATCATCATCACTTTTTGGTAATATTACAATTTATTGGGACATTTCTGTCTGAAGTTTGATTCTTAAAGAAGTCTCTCCCTCCTCTAATGGTTTATCGTGGTGAATGGTTTTCAGAGCGAAGCTGCAGCCAGCCAGTGTTAAACCAAAAGTCCCGATTGGATGGATCCACCTCCATGTTAACAGCAGCAGCAATCAGGCACTGTTCTAGCTTGGTCTGCATAGTTGGTAAAGTAAGACCTTCACTGAAGATTAGTCAAACTGAATAAACATGGTTTTGACCTGAGGTGGTGAACTTATGGCTGATCCATTTCCACATAAAACAAGGCTGTTTACTGACCTCTAGTTAAAGGGCATAGCTGACAGGCTGGAGTCCAAGAATAAGAAAGGTTCGAAGGTAAAAAGGACAGGTAGTGCGCCTGCACTGCATGTAAGAGGTAAGGATTTAAGGACAACAGATACTTCCCCTTCAGCCTGCCTGTAAATCTCCGCTGCTCTTTACAAGCGTCGATGGGGAGAGCTATTCTAGACGAGCTAACAGCTTGCCAACGCTAAGGAATGCCAAACAGGCCGGAGCAGGATGCCAGATTAGAGGCAAGAGGGTGTGAAGACATTAACGGCTTCAGAGAACAGATCGCAGCCTTGAATCTGAGTCAGGATAGGAAATACTGTACAAGGAAATAAAAAAGGTTTGGTTTATGGAATAAATACTGTCAATGGTTCGCCACAATATACAGTGTTGAAAAAGACAAGACACAGACACGGTCAATGAGAGAGGAAAAATGAGCAGCAGGTTGGTCTCTTCATCCTCCTCCAGGCTGCATGCAGGTTTCTCCACTCCCAGAAGAGAACACCAAGAGGATGGGATGGAGAAGTCGTTTTTTTTTCCTTTTAAAAATGTCTTTTTCACTCCATTGTTCTGGTAGGTAGGGAGAAATTAATGCAGCGTCAAATCTGGGATAGACAGGATGCCTCAAATCAGGAAGAGAGGGTGGGGTCAAAACATGAAGACTGGTCCTTATGGAGTAGAGGGGTTTTGGAGTGATGGGAGTGTTTCAGCGCTACAGAAACGGGGGGGAGACAAAGACAAAAAAATAATACATTAAGTCCAACTTAATTAGAAAAGAGGACCTGGATGAGCATGAATGAAAATGAGAAGTAGATCTACGGTTCTTTGCAAAATCATTTATCCCACTTTAAAATTTTTGTCTGTTACAACCACAAACATGTCCAAGGCGCTCGATGCACAGTGCCAGTACTTCTTGAATTTAACGCAGCTCTTCCTGAAGTTTTCTGCCTTTTTCTACTGGATGAACTGATTAATCCAGGTGTGCCTGACCTCAGTGACCATGGCACACCTGGATTAATCAGTTCATCCAGAAATGACAGACAGTTCAGTATCTTTATCTCACTTTTATCTTGTCTTTCTTTCATCTTTTCTGTTTTTCCTTTCCTGTTCTACTTACATTGCAGTGTCCATATAATCTGTAAAACTCCCTGCATAATTATAATAAAGCTATATATATATGCATAAATCAAGCGGAACACTATGGCGACAGCTGTACTGCTCCAATTGTGAAAGTAAAATCTGTTGGGCTCTTTTATTCGTATTGCCATATCGCCGGACAGAACGCTGTTAAATAAAAAAAGAAAAAAAAGGAAACGACAGACAGGAAACAGAAGAGCTTCCTTAAGTTCAGGGAGTAGTGGAGTTGTGCATAGAGCCCATTAGCAGATATCTGATAGACAGATCTCAAACTGCAATGTGAAAGAAGATAAACATATTAACTTCAATTCAAGATTCAGCCCCCTTTACTCAAAAACCACTAAACAAAATTCACTTCCTTTATAAGCTAAATGCTTTATAAGCTAATTTTCTTTCTTTCT